TTTTTCATATAATGTTTATGTCACGTATGAAACAAAGAAAATAATTCTATGGTTGAACACGTTACTGATTTTGTTGAACGTGTTAGTCTTGGGGATGTGGGTGGGTGTGGGTGTGGGTGGATGTGGGCGGGTGTGAGCGGGTGTGGGTGTGGGTGTGGGTGTGGGTGTGGGTGTGGGTGTGGGTGTGGGTGTGGGTGTGTGTGGGTGTGAGTATTAATCCTCGCAACATCAATACCCACACCACACCCACACTCACCCATACCCCACACCCGCACCCACACCCACACCCTACGGCAGCTATTCGTAGTCACTCACATTTGATAATTGCTATCATCGTTAATGCAGATATTAATATATCATTCATTCAGTTCGATTTTGCTCAATAAAACGTAGCAGACTGATTTCCCAATCCAATTGTCGAATATCATTTCTTTTACAGAACGCTAGCCATTACGCTGAATCACATACATGATTTTCTGGTTATTTCTGGTATGTATCAGTAGTTGATTCTTGTCGGAACTATGCAATCCTACACGAAAAAATCCCAATCAATGTAATTCCTGTGTTCTTATATAATTCGACAAGTTCCGACACCAGTGACTGAATGGTTTTATCATGAAATCCGATACCATGTGAAACCACAAATTCCGACCATTTCTTCACACCAGATTACCCCGGATTCCATCGGAAACAAGCAGATGCTGAAATCAGATCTGTCTAGTTCCGAATGTATGAATCCGATCAGCGGATATCGACGGAAAACACTGGATATTATCGGAATCCGGCAAACAGTTACCGACCGAATCCGATTAGCCGTATGACAACGAATTTAAAAGCCGTCCGACAGGATCCGATGTACCCACTTGGACCTGGGTTTTTATCTTTTGTATAGGTAAAAAATCAAGCAGGATTCGATAGACATAACTTAAAGACTACTAGGAGTTATCTAGACAAAATTCTAAAAGTTATTTTTTACCAAAAAAACAACATTGACTAGCTTTTTTTACTGTTAATCTATCGTATTTGCATAAGAGCTATTATATTTTCTTGTATATCGCTATAATTTTCACAAAAACACCAATAAACAATAGAGGGATATTGCTATAATTTTCAAAAAAACATCGATAAAAGAAATTAATTATATCACTATAATTTTCACAAGATATCAATAAAAAAATATAGGTGTATCGCTGCAATTTTCATAAAAATATCAATAAAAGAATAGAGAGAGTAGATAAACGAAGGAGTGAGGAAAAATAGTAAAGTGTTAAGTATTCAAATTAGTATTCCTAATTTTAAGATGTCCTTTATTTGTTCCCGTACAGATGTTGTTAAAGTATAGTTGTAGGACTTCGCTGTAACTTTTCCTTTGATTATATGCTTCTAGACATTTCCAAAATCTTCGGAAAAGTTTAAGATGAACTTGCTGCTCTCGAAAATTGATTCGTGACTCGTCGATTAGTCTTATCATGGTAGGATATTTCCAGGGGTGGCGCGACCGGAGGGTAGTCGGGGGTGCGACACCCCCCCAATCTTCAAAAATTTCTGTTTTTTTGCTCAACAAAATCAGGAAATTTTCTTCCATTTGTCACCAAAAACAATGTTACACCCCCCGAAAAATTGCAGACTTCGTCTTTCTAGTCCAAAAAATTTCGCTACACCCCCCCAATGTTGGTTGACTCGCGCCACCTCTGGATATTTCTGATCAGTTCTTTTTCGTACGAACTGCCCCATATGAGCCTAACACCCTTCAATAGCATTAATTTCGCAATGGTACTTAAAACAGAATAGTACCAATATATCATATTTGTGTGTCAGTTGTTCTAATCGTGAAATCTAGGGTAGGAAAAAAGAAAAGATATTTTTAAGGTTTTGTATCAGCTGCACAAAATTACGTTTCGAAATGCGGGATGATGGGCAAGTAGCTGGCGTAGCTCACTTAATTTTGCTTTTGGTGAAGCACTACAGTTAAATTCGACTGCAATCTGAAATAAACCTTTGGATTTTTCTCGATCAGCACTGTGCTGAAAATAACATAATAATGATTGTGTAACACCCTTATCATCCACCCATTGAATTTGATCTACAGGACAACGTGTTGAAACTCCTTTTTTCTAAACTCTAATAAATTATTAAGCACGAGCTGAATGAGTACGAACATTATCAACTATGATTTCGATTTTATGGTTGTTGAAGCATTCTTTGAACTCTAGTAATTTAAATAATCACTCGAATTGTGTTAATATTGTTAAATTATCGAAATAAGCATCAGAACTAACATGCATAGATGCACTAGCAGAACGTTCTATATAATCAATATCTTGTTCTTCATCTAATTCTGGATATTTTTCTAATGCTTTATCATATTCAACTGGAATTAGTTGAAAAAATAGACCTGATGAATGCATGACCAAAAAGTCTGATAACATATTAGATTTACCACGGCCTTTAGAATAAAATGGCGCCTGGTCATAGTATAGCCAACGTTTAGTTGACATCTCACCGCTTTGGAAGGTGCTCTCATCATGAACTAAAAAGACAAATGCAGAAAAAGCAAAACAA